ACAGTTAATTCTTTCAACAGTATTTTCCTGTTAAGGTTTAAAATCACAGCTTTTTGCTGTATTTACAAAAATGGTAGAAACTGTAAATTTCAGCAACAGCAATATACCGTTAATTTTACAGTAACTTCCTGGCAACCCTACTGCCAGTTGTTTACCTTTTTTTTAACAGGGGCAATTTCTAAGAGTGTACACACATATGCTCACAGACAGCCACAAATGCAAGACCCAGCCGGATCTCAACAGCTGCTCTCTCACCATTCACACACCCTGAAAGGGGCTGGCAACAACTAGGGCCCCTAATGTGCAAAATAAACTGATGTTTGAACAAAGCCTTATAAAATGACCCTGGAGCAGCAGACTTTTCTTTTATTATGAATAACCTTCATACTGCTGTGGACTTCTAACAATTTGTTAGACAGCTTTGTCCTCCCAAAATATAAGAAGCAAAATCTGTCTCCCTGTCAGCTGTATTACAGTTACATGCCTATTAGCCTGCATTATATAATGTACGACCAATTTAATTCTACATTTACTGGAATGACAGAGCCTGGCAAAGCCGCTAAGACCCACAGATGAATGGGTACAGCAAGAATGACAACAAATGTTTCTCTGATGTCCTAATTGTCTGGATGTCCAGAATTTGCTTTACTAATTGTTGTATTTATAACCAAAACCAAAAAAACTGTCCTCAATAGAACAGCTTTTTTTGTGATACACATTTCTTACATTTAAATAAATACCAATAGCTTTTTCTCCCACCAGCAGCCTTTCCTCCCTAGCTCTGTGTCTACTGCACACGGGTCAAGGAGAACAATAGCCTGTCCGTTACTCCGAGGGCAACTAGAATGAGGGGCGATATTTTTTCATCTCTAAAGCAAGCAGTCCTAGCTTAAGGCAGAATAAATTTGAAGGTCTCACTGTGCTGAGCAGATAATATACACAAGAAGAACAGAAGAGAATGTTATTTAGCTTGACGTATGTTACATGCTGTAACAGAATTGTTGCAGGTCAGAAATGATATTCCAATGAAACTCTTTCCTACATTTTGAGGAATCCATCCTTAGTAGTCCATCCAGTGCTGATAGCCGCCCCCCTAATATAATGGTAGGGGAAACACTGGGAAGATTTTGACACAGAAGGAGATATATGATGAAACAGTGTGCACATGCTCATTAATGTTGTCGGAGGGTGCTAAGAGGTTATCCCAGTCAGTGGATTCAAAGCATCCTTGTCGTGTAAGAATGCTTTCGTTTATGCTGGAGCAAGCAGGATGGCATGATGGTTAGCAGAGCCAAGAGGGGGGAGGGCAACAGATCTCTATGTGTTAGGAACTGAACCATAGCATTTACCCAGTGTCTTCCCCAGGCGGGTGCTGCGTGTAATGTACTGGTGGTAGCCTTTTAGTGATTTTTCAGGAGAGCAGTGGTTGAAATCGCCCCAAGATGAATTCGGAAGAGTCCGGTAATATGTGTTCCAGTTTATTTAATAAGTTTGTGATGTGTTCAGTGGCTGCGTCAGCTCTGGGGTGGATGTAATCCAGGATGAGAAAAAGCTGTGGAAATTCTCTGGGGAGATAGAAAGGGCGAAGGGAGACAGCCAGAAGCTCGATGTCCGAGGGGCACAGTTTCTCCCTCACGACGATCGTTGAGCACCGGCGTGTGTTTACATAAAGACACACACCACCGCCATGTTGTTTCCCAGTGAGCTCACTGTCTTGAAGGGGGGGGAAGCCATCAACGTGCAGCATGTTATCATCATCATTCTTGTTTAACCATGTCTCAGTAAAAGCAAGAACAGAGGCAGTCCTGTACTCGTGCATGTGGTTAATGTTAGTCTGTAACTCGTCCAGTTTATTGCGGAGGGAGCGTACATTAGCTAGGATGATAGATGGAAGCGGCCGTTGTTTACTGTGTTGTTTATTGTGAATGATATCACTTGTTCTTAAATGGATGGGAAAAAATGGATATAGTAGTTATAATAACAATAATAGTAATAGAATATAGTGTGTGTGTGTTTGCGTGCGTGTGTGTGTGGGTATTCAATGTACAATCTGTAATATGTAATAGGCATCAGCCTGAGCTTCAAAGCAGGGGTAACAAAAAAAAAAAAAAAAATCATTAACAAGCCTGATAAACACAGGGAGTCTTGGCTAGGTGGAGGCTCAGATGGATGAGGGTTATCAGGAGGTTGCATGGCAGATTGGAGTGGCTAGCTCTAGGGGCTGGGAAATTTGAGATGTGAAGATTGGGTTGGGCTAAAGAGATGGGCAGAGAGATGGACTTTGTGACAATATAGCAACCACATCTATCCCCTTATATGAGGCTATTGTTTCTCCTCAAATCATTCTTGAATTTAATGAGATGTATTAAAAACATGCTTAAAATAAAACTTGTATACATATAAGAAATACTAGTGTTGGTTATTGTTGTGCAGTTCGTTGTTCTCTCATTGGTCTAAACTTTATGAGTGGTGTGACCCTCTTAGGTTTCCTTGACTGTGTCCAAAGGGTTCCTCACCGTTAAGAATTCACCTGAAGGAGTGACAATAAAAGGTAAGATTTGTAATCAGAAGGAACTTCATGAAGGTCGTTTGTCCAAATGAGTAGGACTAAGTGGACTAATTTGCTTGAGAAATAATTAAATCAGCGCTAAAAATAGCTGGTGATGGTTCTACATTTGTTGATGGAGGGAGGGAAATCAAATTATTACCCTCGACAGGGACATTTCCTAGATAACTCAACGGAACTTCTGAGAAGTCAATGAATGCTGTTTGTCTGTGGTGAAATGGCAGGTGATGGCGAGATGAGCCTGGTTGTAGAATGTAGCAGCCTGGTGACCCTCAACAACCTGCTGGCTACAGTGTCATATACCAGCACTGTCTACCATATACACACCGGCGACTTGGGTATGTGTCTACCAGACAAGAAAACATAATCTTTATGTGAACAATACATCAATAAATGCATTGGAGAGATAGTCTGCACAACAAGGGCATGAAGTTATCCATTAGCTGGACATGTTTGTACATGTACATGTATGTGTTTAATGCACTGTATAAACCATGTGAATCCTTTACTGTTGAATTGATTGAAATGCTGTCTCCTTTGAGCCTACAAAGTCTTCCTTAGTACCTGATAGGTGGGGGGTTGTTTCTGCTGTGGATGTTCAATGATGAAATCGCAAATAAGGCTGTGGATTATCTTAGAATTTATTAGGCCGAAGTCAGACAACAGCAACAGAACACAAACCGCGGACAAAGTTTTCATCTTAGCAGTGTTGCTTATACTCTGTTAGAAGGTAAAGCTACAAATTCCTGTCTATCTGGGTATACCTCTAATAGTCAAGAAAGATGACATGATCATGATCTGTAAATATACTTGGCTTCACTCCAAATATAGATCTGCTGCTATGAGAGTCTTACTGTTCCATCAACACAGACCTAAAAGAAGAATTACTCTTAGACAGATTTAAATGGTACATCCACAAAATTACCAAGATGAATGAATTCATGAAAATTCGTACTAACACCATTGTTATTTACTTATCTATTACCAGTAAGACACAGCTTGCTGTAACTGTCCTTTTCTCTGCCCAGCCATCTTCCAGTTTGAGAACCATGAAGCTGTGTTTCCCATCTCCATCAAGCAGCCTAAACTGCCAGTGCTTTATGACATAGGAACAGGTAGGTGTGAAACGGTATATGAACAGGTGTGAACTCAGTATGACGGTCTGAAGATTTAAGGTCATCATAAAAAGGACAATAAAGAAAATGAGGTTAGATAAAGATAAAGATAAAGATAAAGATAAAGATAAACTTTATTGATCCCCGTGGGGGAAATTTGTGCATTACAGCAGCTCCAGAAAACAGGGGACGGGAATATACTTATTAAAATAAAAATAGAAGTTAAAAACAGATCAAACATATTTACATCATTTAAATAAAAAAAATACAATAATGTAAAATTACACAGTAACTTGTTCTTAAAAAAAAAAAACACACACAGTGTGTAGCATGAGGTGGTGATGTTGTTAAATAGTCTGATTAAACAGTCTGACTGCAGATGGGATGAACGACCTGTGGTAGCGCTCTGTTTTACAGGGTGGGTGTCTGAGTCTGAAGGAGCTGCTCAGAGCCCCCACAGTGTCATGCAGGGGGTGAGAGGGGTTGTCCATGATGGATGTCAGCTTCACTAACATCCTCCTCTCACCCACCTCCTCTACAGAGTCCAGAGGACAGTCCAAGACAGAACTGGCCCTCCTGACCAGTCTGTTCAGTCTCTTCCTGTCTCTCTCCGTGCTCCCTCCTCCCCAGCAGACCACTGCATAGAAAAGTGCAGACGCCACCACAGTGTCATAAAAAGTCCGTAGCAGAGTCCTGCACACTCCAAAGGAGTTGAGTTTAGTAGGAGAGTAGTTGAGGTTAGGCAACTTCAACCCTAACTAATGTATCAGGCAGGGTGCAGACGCATGACAGACAAGTTTCTGACCACTTATCATGTCTTTTTTCTTAACAGCTTGGCGGATCAGTAGAAGGCAACCAGTTTTATTTAGATTTAAGGTCAATATTGTAGTGTCTATGAGAAGGGCTGATAATCTACTTTAATGGGTTGATGATTTTTAACAAATGATAAGGACATTCTGTGCTTGCATGGTATTTCAGTGCAGTTATATATGTACCAGTTAAAATGCTGTTTACTTTGTTTGTTTAATTCAAATGCAGGCTTAAAACATGCAGGAAGATAAAACTGTAACTGACTCATTTAGGTAAACATATTTTGACAAGTTTTCTGATGTAGGCATTAGCTACTTAGTCATCAACAACACTTGTTTTTAATGGAGTAGATGGATTAGTGTTAGTCAGAAGAATGTTGTGTTATTCATCACCAAATCAAAACCAACAGCCTTCTTTTGCAGTTCTCTTAATGAATGTGTTTTTTTTTTTTTTGGTGCTTTACTTAAGCTATCAAAAGTAAAGCTCCTCTCTCTGAACATTTGGAACTGTCCAAACTGTTTGAACTTGAAAAAACGCTCCTTCTTGTGTTTTAATCTTTTCTTAAACACGACTGTCCACTCAGAAATCAGCTCCCACGTTACCATCACCACAAAGATATTCCTGCGCTACCAAAAACTGGAGGTGTTGTTGAGCAGCATACGGCGTTTTTATAGCAACATTACAGTCATCATTGCCGATGACAGCGATGACCCGCAGAAAATTACCAGAGAACATATCCAACACTACATCATGCCTCCAGCACAGGTACGTACAATACTCAATATTTCTGTATTATACTGAACCAATGTTGGACAAAGCAATAATTTTATACAATGCAAGCTTTTCTGCTTGTGGGAATGGGTGTTAAGTTATCAGTAGATATGAATCCGTAAACTTGCTTTATTTTCAGGAGATCTTCTGTTGCATTTAACTTAGAACAATATTTTTTTTTTTATTGATTTTTTCTTCTGGCAACAAGAACAAGTTTTGTCAGATAAGGACATAACACTAATTTAGGAGTAGTAACCATTAGAATCTCATATTTCTCCCTCAGGGCTGGTTCGCTGGCAGGAATCTTGCCGTCTCCCAGGTGATCACAAAGTACTTCCTGTGGGTGGATGACGATTTTGTGTTTACAGAGGAAACAAAGATAGAGAAGCTGGTGGAGATCATGGAGAAAGTTCCCGAACTGGATGTGGTGAGAACAAAATGGCTCAGGTTGTAAAGCCTTTATAAAGAAAAAAAAAAGGTTTAGTTGTGTTGTAACGTATGTAGTTTTCTAGCTGTGTGCATATTTTCTTGTTGTGTAACTTTTCTTGTTAAAAACTTTATATGACATATTCTACTGTAAATTATTATGTACCCTCTCAGCTTTTGAACGTTGCTTATAGCTCAAATTATCCTTGATAAGGACATTTTTCCAGTCCATAGTTAAAAAGGGCAACGTCCTATACAGGTTTTTTTATTATATATTATACCATACATCTTCAGTAAACAGTATCCACCTGTTTTTTTTAAATAGTGTTTAGTCTCAATACAGTTCTCACATCTGTCAACACTTTTTATATAAACACAGCTCAAATTCATAGACCCTCATGCACAAATCAAAAATGACAGAATTTATTTAAACAAATGATACCCACCTTCATATAAAATGAATATTTGTAGTTCACTTATGAACTCAATGTAAAACAGAACAGAAGAGGATATGCGTTTTTATTTGTGAATGAACTTCATGAATAAACAAAGTGGCCTGAATCTCTCTGTCATCTTTCTGTGTTTTAGCTCTCCTAACTTGTTATAAATAATTATCGATAAGTTATGTAATCTGCTTGTATTTTAGTAATTGTGTCTGGTGATTTTTTTTTACAATCTTGACCCTAAAGAAGCATTATGTGTGACTAAAAATAATAATAACACTAACGAAATAAACCATCCTGGCCCCTCTCTCGGCTTCAGAGACGCCAGCTTATAAACATTGAAATTAAACAACAGCGTAGGCCTATACAGTTAATCATAGGTGTTCTTAACTCATCATAAAAAGGACAATAACGAAAATGAGGTTATTTCTCAACTTCTCTTAAGTCCCTTAGTTCAGCCGGGATGTCAATCTGCCGACATCAAGAGGCAGCATTTCAGCCCTCTTGTCCGTTTCTATCAGCTTTTGTTTATTGCTTTATTGTTAGTTCTTATCATTGTCGTAAGCTCCTGTACGTTTTTACTTTTATGCTTTGTACAGCACTTTGGTCAGCTGCTGCTGTTTTGAAATGTGACTTGACTGTAACTCAGTAAAAGAGATGATTGTCTGCTTTTATGATCATTGTGACAGTCTTGTGAAATGAAGGTCGCATTTTTACATTGATTGTGGATTTGCTGAGCCAAATCCTATTATCCATTATCACTAGCTATAATCCATGGAAAAGTGATTTGCTTGGAAATGTTTCTGTTGCATTAGAGCATTTTAATGCACAGTTAATTACTGCACTAAGCAAAAATTAGGCGGGGTGCATGACAGACCAGTTTCTGACCACTTATCATGTCTTTTTTCTTATCAGCTTGGCGGATCAGTAGAAGGCAACCAGTTTTATTTCTCATTAGACTATCAGGAAGGAGACGAAATGGAGGGTGGCTGCCTGAGCAGAAAGTCTGAAGAGACTTTCCACCAACTCCCTGGTCACCCACAGTGCTCTCTAGCCAGTGGGGTGGTCAACTTCTTCCTTGCTCGTACAGATGCTGTACAGAAGGTGGGATTTGACCCTAAGCTCCAGAGAGTAGGACACTCAGGTAGGTTGAAAACTAGACAGAGTGTGAATCCCTCATGGCAGCTTGCTCACAACTATACAGAATGTGTTGGCCAAGGTGTTTTTTTTTCCCTTAAAAGTTAAAATCTCTGTGTCTGACTCTAGAGTTCTTTATGGATGGGATGGGATCTCTGATGGTTGCCAGCTGTAGCCATGTGTCCATCGGCCATCAGCCTCATACCAGCAACATGGACACAGCCCGCTACGACAGCTTCAGAAATCCAGAAGACAGTGAGAAAGAGTTTAAACTGCGGCTTCACTTCTTCAAAAATCATCTAAAGTGTGTGCACTATGGATAGATAGAATGGACCAACTGCTTTTTAGATTTAATATTTTTCAAAGCCAATGAAATCATTATTTCTATCTCTTCTTAGAGATTTAAAAATGATATACCCTTAAAGGAAGAATATGCAACTTTTTGATCCTGTAGATGTCGCCCTTACAGTAAAATAATTACTAACCTAAGTTTAATTGACTATCAATTTACCCTTTATTGATGATGGTTATTATAAAGTAAGCTCGAAAAACGTTCCTCTAAACTGCCTACTATGAACTTAAGTGGTTCTCACTTCTTCTTTTCCAACTTTTCGACTATTAGAGGAAGAATATGCAATTTTTTGATCCAGTAGATGTCGCCCTTGAGCACCAGCATGAAACCAAAACGACTCGCGCTGCATTGTTGTGTTAGCATGCTAATACTAGCGCTCTTTATTTTGCACGTAGCTTCACACTGAAATGACCATGATCTAAAAATGCTTACATGACATTCAAATAAGCAGCGAGTACATTGTGTTATTCTTCTTTTTTCTAGCGCCTCAATTGAAATACTTTTATAAGCAAGGGGATGAGCAGGCCGGCCGTCCCGTCCATATAAACACGATGTAGGTACGGCTCGGAAAACATCACAGACAGTGGGATTCGGGTGTCACACTCATTGTAGACAGTCATGACTCACAGAGATATTTACAGAGGACATACTGGATTTCTGCTACATTTATGTGTAAAATCTCGTGCACACAGCCTTTAAAGGACTAAGTGATGTATATTATTACTTATTACCTCTGTCAACTTTGTTTACATTTTTGTATTGTGTTAATTTGTTATGTTTTACTGCACATACATGAATGGTCCTTTTTTGTCTTCATTTTACAATCCCCCTAAGCAAGGGGTGATATATATATTTGGACAGTGCACATTAATCAAAATATCAACAAATAGCATTTATGTAAACATGCCAGAATTAGCACAAAAGTTACATTTAATCCGTAGTCCGAGGCAGGTTTATATGGGGAGCAGTTTTCACTAAAGCTTTCTTAAAAAGGGCAGTTTGTTGATAAAGTGAGACAAGGTCAACATGTCGGCATGAATTAGTGCAACACCTGTATAGTTTCTGCTGACATTTACTTTAGCATTTATCTCCATGCTTTATCTCATGCCCCATTCTGTTACTTGTTTCTCTTAATGTGCCATGCATCATCAGATTTATAGATTTCTCTGTGGATTTGACTTTTCACACCTGTATTCAGCTTCTTTCTCATTTTGCCACAGTGAGCAGAACGGTGTCCAATTTACCTCACTTCTTTTTGCAGGTTTATATGATTTAATTTAGTCCTAGGCTGTGTCTTAATTAACAAATGATATTGTTCCATTGAGTATGTTGTACAGAGAAGTCATGTTATGCAATTTTTTTGTATCCAACAAATGCCTTGGTGTATAATGGTTATGCTAAGCTGCGCCAAAGTGTGAGCTCTTTGCACGCTAAGAAGGAGCAAACAAATAAAAGTAATCGCTGTAATACGTTTTTGTTTGGATGTGTGGATTCTGAGATATGAGCCATGGATCTCTAGCATCCATCAGCACTTCATGGAAACAGTGTGTTCTTCTTTACAACTATTTGGAGGGATAGTAGACTGTTGCTATGCATGATTGGCCATTCAGAATCAAGTATTTAACCCAGTCATGTATTAAATATGAATGATAACTTTTAGCCCCAAGACTGAATGCGGAAATAAGATATAAAAATGTACTAAAGTGAACAAAATACAGTAGTTGCAAGCCACAAGCTACAGCAGATCACCAAGACGCCTTGGAATGTTTTGCTGTATGTGGTGTGACAGGGGGAGGCTGTGGCTCAATTGGTAGAGTCGTTGCCTTTCAACCGGAAGGTCGAGGGTTCGCTGAGCAACATGTCCAATGTGTCCTTGGGCAAGACACTTAACTCCACATTGCTCCCGCTGCTTCCGTGGCGGTGTATGAATGGATTAGTGTTGTACTTGCTCTCTGTTGTACGTCGCTTCGGATAAAAGCATCTGCTAAGTGAATTGAATTTGAATTGAATTGACAAAGCCTTAAGTGTTAACAATACAATACAATTTCTTTTTGCTATTATAGACAAAGTTGAAATGCATGGTTTAAGGTCAAGAGGTAAAATTATCCCATTTAACAGTAAACCATAAACCTATAGATAGTTAGATAACTATGGACCCGTTTTTAAATGTATTTATTTATGGTGCCTTTATTGTAGAGATAGGATAGTGGATAGAGTCCGTAATCAGGGAAAGAAGTCATTTAAGGATACCTTTCCGATAGAAAAGGACAGCTGTCATTAGAAGTAACCCATGAACACCAAGATTCCTTCAAGTGTTTGTGGCGTGTGTCCCCCACCCCCCCCAATGCTGTAAACCTAGGGGAACCACTGAATGTCCATATGTTTACTACATTATTGTATTTTATGAAGGCATTCAATCAACTGTTAATCAACCATTGGTCCAACACTTTCCAGCTTGGACAGGAGAGCCAAGATAGTATATTAATAAATAAATATAAATATTATTTTTTCTCAGACACACACATCCTTGCTGGGGTCAAGGTCATTGGCAATATTGATATTGATGAATACAACATTTCACATTTAATTCACTCTACTGCGTGTGTGAGCCCGCCTGCAGTGTTTGTGTTTCATCTCAAACTCTAGCTATAACGTTAATCTTACAAATGACTTTAAAATAGTAAGTGATGGTTTTTGCCTATTCTACCGAGCAAAGCAGTAAAGTACTCACCTATTACGGTAATTGTCAGGATGGAGATGGGTGACAATCTGTTAAATCCAACTCCACTGTTCTACCACAATGTCCTGTATTTCAACATAACAGGATTATACTGTTGAAATGTCCTCATTCAATAAATATATCTAATATATATATTTTTTTTTAATTGATCGATTGATAACAGGTCTGGTCAATTTGTAGTTTGGTACTTCAATATCAATCCACAACACAGTTGTTGAGCTGCTCAAAGCTTTCGATTTGACTTACCAACCTTTAATTTATGTTTTTATGTTTTTCTAGGGTTTCATTAGATTTATGGCTGTAGTTTTTTCATTTTATATCGAAGGAACAGTTTTTTTAAAATGCCCCCTCCAGGAGTAGGGGGAAGTCTTTCAAAACATCCAAATAAAAGACTGTTTTTATTTTTCACTAAATACGGTACATCTGAAAAAGTGGGATTGTCTTTTTTTCAGGTTCTATAGTTTTTAAATGCTAATATAAATTCACAACAGTAGAAAGTGCCACTTATCTGTGGAGCAACTGAACTCTAGATTTTGTTGCCAATTTTGAAGTAATGGTTGTCAATGCAGCAGAGTCAAACTGTCAGCAACCAAGAAATAAGTTGTCACAGAGTGTAATGTCTAAACCCTTGTTCTCCTACGGCTCCACCTTCTGGTACAAATGTGGTCACGTCTGTCTCCAGAAAACCTGGCAGGAGGCAAGATGTAGAATTGCACCTATTATACCCACACAGTTTTTTAAGACCAAAGAAAGATCACGAAAAGCTACAATCACACATAGGAAAACGCACAAGGGCAGGGAGTTAAGCCCCAGCCACAATGGGAAAGGTGAGTCTCATAACACAAACTAAGAAAACAGTGAGAACAAAAGAGAAGACATCAATCATGTAGTGTTACCTGAAGATGCTGGTTGAATTTCATCTTCCAACTCCATGACATCAAGAATTCCTTGAAGGGGTTAAGGCGACAAGAGCAAGAGAAGACAAACAGTTCCAGAGTCCCCATCACCAGCAGCCTATTCTAAAGATTGACACAATAGGCTAAGGGATTAATGCTTTCATATTTTCTAATGGAAGTGTAGAGTTTGTTGATAAAAGTGTCATAATGCATGTGATGTGTGTTGTGTCAATGAAATGAAAAGTGGACCAAAATTTAGATGAGACATTCACAGAATTTTTTTTTATTTTTATGTTTTATACCTACCTTGTTTTAATTTAAAACTAGCGCTCGATACAATGATTTAAGAAAGACATTCTACACACTCCGAAACAATAGATGGCGCTGTGCTTTTTTTTGTTTGTTTTATCGGAGAAGAAGAATATTTCCAGTTCAGATAAGACGTCACTTCTGGCGGCTGGTTTACCAAACAAGTCATGGCAGAGGAAGGAGCAGGAGAGATCCGTGAAAGCTTCCCTAACAGCGGCAGAGAAACAACTCCTCCGCCGCCGGCAGGAGCTCGACTACTGGAAGCAAAACGCAGCGCGGCTCCGGGGCCGAAACCTGCTGACCGGCTTGGCCATCGGGGCGTTTGTGGTCGGCATGTGTATCCTTCGCCAGTCATCATGCGCTTTTACGCATGGCATAGGAACAGTGACCTTCATTCAAGTGCTCAAATGAGAAAATAAAACACACGCATTAGCGTTAGGTTAAAGCAATGTTGTTACCACTTGGAGCTTTCCGTTCTGTCTTGAGGGACACAGACAGCGTGAGACCATTGAACAGTGCCTGTGTTTTTTTTTTAAATCTTAAATTGTTGTTTTATTGTTGTGTCACAGCTCCCACACTTTCTTTTTTTATTGAAAACACTATGTTGTTAATCTGTACTGTCACTTAATTGTCACTGTTCTTTTGAACGTGTGCTGCTGACCTCTTGGCCAGGTCACCTTTTGTGAAAGAGATCCTGATCTCAATGGGTTCTTATCTGGTTCAATAAAGGTTAATAATAAGAAATAATGCCTGGCGTAGACTACCTCAGGAGCTACACACTGGGAACAAAAACCTGGTAGCCTGTTTAATGTAGAATGAAAAAAGACTAATAATTTTATCTTCAATGCATGTTGTCAAGAGAGTTGAAAGTGCCTCACTATTTCATACTAGGTATGAAGAGAACAGTCATAGGTGCATTATTGTGTTCAAGGAGATGTACACTTTTTTTTTCTCCCAGCCAAGATTACACAAACTGAAGGAACTAGAGCATTTCATTTGGATTACAGTCAATGCTTATGTCCAACAGCAGGGCCACAAATGTTCAGTCGAATCAAAACGGTCAAGGAAACATGTCACACATTTCAACCATTAGCCAGTCCTATAGGGCTTTAAAGAAACACAATGATACAATAAAATGTAGGCTTACATTTATATACCAGTTTGACTTTCTTTTCCTTAACCTGCTGCGGTCCAGTTAGCTACACTATCCTGTCCGTCAAACAGGAAAGGATCATGGACGAGCTGGATGATGAAGCCAAGATCCACATCATCAGAGGGCCACGGACTGGTGCCAACTCCTGATGTCGCCGTCTGTGAACTGTCCTGGACTACTTGGGTGGGGTGGGTGCTATTGAGTGACAGCTATACACTGTATGGAGTTACAAATGACTGATGGGCTGCTCTTCATTCAGACACTCGTGTACTACTAGTCACTCAAATTTAGGACATTTCAAAACATTAGAGACTGTTTCTATAGTTTCCTCTCTGTGTGGAAGTATATTAAATGTTGTGTTGAAATTGTTCACCTCTATTGTGCAGTCTTGCCTCATATATCACGTTGGCGCAAGAACCAACAAGCACACATGCAAAGGAAAGAAAAGCAACTGACACTTGTCATAATCTGGTCCAAGATATAAAATCTGCTGAATCTGAAATAATTAAAGGTTTTCATAGACAATCTGCGACCCACAATTTCAAAACTGTAATCAATATGTGATAATTATGTAGGGTAAAAGTACCCGCACAGCCTTGCCTCCATTAAACATCTGTTTCTGAATACGACAACATCAGCTGGGTCAGTGCTCAGTCCGCCTTAACAGCAGAGACTTTAGAAGTTTGTGTCTGCATGGATGTGCACTCTGCTCATTTTAGGGAATGCAGATACAAGTAACTGAGAGAATTCTTTCTCTCTGTAACTTTTATACTGTGTGTGCTTTGCTACGAGTCACAGGAACCTGCTGTGCAGTTATAGTAATTCATAATGTGCATATGTATTTAGTGTTGATCTGAGCATAATGGGTTATGAGGAAGAATGTTGAAGAAATGTTAACGTGTAAATAAAGAGCAGAGTATTCACTTGTCTGCTGGTGTCACTCATTTGACCATGATGAAGACTTGTCTGGTTTAATCACTTAGCCACTATGATTTAAAGGTCCCATATTATGTTTTTTCTGGTTTTATATGCCCTTTAGTGTGTTTTCTGTGTGTCCTGTGCATGTTTAGGCACATCTATGTGCAAAAATTCAAAGTCCATTAGACATTAAACATTAGAATAGTTTTTTAATGACAGAAAAAGAAGATTTATATGTTTTAAAGTAAAACATTTGAATACATAAAGAAGTACATGCAAACTCCTATAAAGTCTAACTTGTAATGTTTTTTTCCTACAAATGGTCAGTTAGTTCATTACAAGTGAGACAGTGCATTACTTTCCCATGCACTGGTCTTATGAAACAGATGTGCAACATTTTTTATTTAAAATTCAAGTAAAAAGAACATTTGATACATTAATATGT